TTATGGGAGACAGTGTCAAAAGCCTTGCTGAAGTCAAGGTAGACAACATCCACGGCTCTCCCCTCRTCCAGCCAGCCTGTCACCCCATCATAGAAGGCTATGAGGTTCGTCAGACATGACTTCCCCTTGGTGAATCCATGCTGACTGCTCCTCAGCAGCTTCTTCTCCTCCATATGCCCGGAGATTCTCTCTAGGATGAACCGCTCCATCACCTTTCCAGGGACAGAGGTGAGGCTGACCAGACTGTAATTGCCTGGCTCCTCCCTCTTGCCCTTTTTGAAGACTGGAGTGACGTTGGCTTTCTTCCAGTCCTCGGGCACCTCCCCTGCTCTCCAGGACCTCTCAAAGATGATGGAGAGAGGCTGAGCAATAACTTCGGCCAGTTCCCTCAGCACTCTCGGGTGCATCCCATCTGGGCCCATAGATTTTTGAGTGGCCAGTTTGCCTAAGTGATCCTTAACCCAATCCTTCTCAACTCGTGGAAGGTCTTCCTCTAGCCCATTTACATCTCTTCCATTTGTGCCCTGCAGTTCATGGGGGGTCGTCTTAGCAGTAAAGACAGAGGCAAAGAAGGCATTTAGTAACTCTGCCTTCTCGGCATCCTCCGTCACCAAGGCCCCTTCCCCATTCAGCAGTGCACTAACGTTTTCCCTCGTCTTCCTCTTGCTATTGACATACTTATAGAAACCCTTCCTGTTGTCTCTGACTTGCCTCGCCAACTCTAATTCCACCCGGGCTTTGGCCTTCCCCATTTCGCATCTGCAATCTCTGACAACGTGCCTGTATTCCTCCCATGTGGCCTGTCCCTTCTTCCACAAGCTGTACACCCTTTTTTTCTCACTCACTTTGTCCAGTAATTCCTTACCCATCCATACAGGTCTCCTGCCCCGCTTACTCGACTTCTTTTTTGTGGGGATACACCGATCCTGAGCTTGGAGGAAGTGGCGCTTGAATATCAGCCAGCTCTCCTGGACCCCCTTTCCTTCTAGGACCCTGACCCAGGGGACTGCTCCAAGGAGCTCCCTGAAGAGGTCGAAGTTAGCTCTCTTGAAGTCCAGGGTAGCTATTCTACTTCTCACCCCATCTCCTCCACGCCGGATCGTGAATTCCAAAATCTCGTGGTCGCTGCAGCCCAGACTGCCTCCAACCCTCACATTTTCCACTAGACTGGAAAATGGTATGAAATGAAAGATAGTATGCTTGCCTCACYGTAAGATGTCTGAAGTACTTTCGCAAGCTTGGCAAGCCTCATAAGGAAGAGGATCCGCCTTTGCTTCTTCAATATTGCTGAGATTCTGTCTTTCACTAACTCCCACTTTTCCAATATTTATTTTCTTGCCCCATCCCAATTATGATTTCTCTTTCCGTGTTTGTACTATCTTTTTATCTTTGAACTAGTAACAACTGTACCTCTGTAATTTTACCTATCCTGTCTTTCATGTCCTTTTCTGCAGACTTGTGCAATCACAAATCTCTGCCATAACTAACTTTCTTTAGACTTCACAGCCAAGATCACACAGCTATGTTATGTCTTGCATCTTTTGGAGTCAAACCACTCGGTACTTTGGGACAAGGAATTAGAGGAGATTACAGAGAAAGGATTACAGTAACTTAGTCTACTTAACACTCTGTTCATGAAAAGACAATACTCACTACTTGGAAGCTGTATAACTGAATGAGAATGTTTTACCCAAAACCATGTTCACTTCAGCATCAGGAATGCTGAAGCCAGGAAGGAGAAAATTTATAGTTAGGACGATTATTTATTGGAACTAACCTATCTAGGAAAGTTGCAGGTATCCTCTTGGTATCTTCAAAATCTGAGGTACTTGGTATAAACTGTCTTAGTTAAAATACACTATTTCATTTTGTGGTCTCCTATGAGATAAACAATTCTGGAGAATGTTGTGGTCCCATCTGGCCTTGAAACAAATGTGAGATAGCAAAAACAAAAAACCAAACAAAAAAACCCCACAATTTCATTATTCTCTCTAGCACAGTAACCAACAAAGGTGACAAATGAAATTGTAAAGCAGTTATTGCAATTATGGACAGCTTGTTGGAAAGCTAGAGATCTGTATGTGATACATGAAAAGTATTCTTTCTTGGCAGGGAGGGGAGAAGTAGCCTCAGTCCTTTGTTGTGGTGAACAGATAATGCACTAAACCCATAACTACTAGATAACTTCTGAGTAACTGGCAATGTCACTAATGAGCTCTGAATCTCCTCCAAATATAGTATGGAAATGTAAAAGGCAATTAAGTATGCAGTAAGCATACTTCAAGTATGCAGTAACAACCTATTGCAGTCCTCTCCTAAAGAATCTGCTTAGTAAGGGATAATTAGGGGTGTGAGAAGAGGTCATGAAGAGAGGAGATGGAATTCTTCTGAGATTCTTTTCTTTTGTTTCAGGGGGTCTTATCTAACCTCTTTTTTGTGGAGCATGACTTTCCTGAGCAAGAGATCCAGGAAGGGAAAAGCCACCAGAACCCACACGAGGCCCAATTTGTAGTGGAGTTGTGCAAGTATTTCCTGTGTCAAGATTATCTACCTTCTCAAATCACCATTCTCACCACCTATACTGGGCAGCTTTTCTGTCTGCGCAAGCTCATGCCAGCGAAGACCTTTGCAGGAGTGAAGGTTCATGTTGTAGATAAATACCAGGGGGAAGAGAATGATATTATCCTGCTGTCACTTGTGCGGAGCAACAAAGAAGAGAGATCAGGGTTCTTGCAGATCTCTAATCGGATATGTGTAGCATTATCCAGAGCTAAGAAAGGGTTGTATTGTATTGGAAACATGAGAATGCTCGGTAAGATACCTCTCTGGAGCAAGATCATTCACACTCTCCGGGAGAAAGGCTACATTGGCCGCTCATTGATGCTTTGTTGCCAAAACCACCCTGAAACCAAGACACTGGTATCTACAGCAGCAGATTTCATTAGGGTTCCAGAAGGAGGCTGCAGTCGTCCCTGTGAATGTCGATTGAGTTGTGGACATGTTTGCACGAGGGCATGTCATCCATATGACACAGAGCACAAAGAGTATCAGTGCCTGAAACCTTGTCAGAAGGTGCTTTGTAAAGATGGGCATCGCTGTCCACAGTTGTGTTATGAGCCCTGTGGACAATGCATGGTGAAAGTGGAGAAAATTATTTCGAAGTGTGGCCACCGACAGATGGTGCCATGCTCTACTCCAGATGCTGAGTTTCTTTGCCAGGAACCTTGTCAGAAAAAGTTGAATTGTGGACACACATGCAATAAATTCTGTGGACAGGAATGCAATACGAGGTGTCCTGAGCTAGTTACAGTTGCACTGAAATGTGGCCATATCCAGCAAGTGAAGTGCTGGATCAGTGAGGAGATGAAACATGGGATGCCTGTGGAATGTAAAACTAAGTGTTCTGTCACACTGCAGTGTGGCCATGTATGCCAAGGTTCCTGTCATACCTGCTTTGAAGGAAGATTTCATAAGCCTTGTAAAAGCCCATGCAAACGCTTCTTAGTCTGTTCCCACAGGTGTCAGCAGCCATGTACTACAGAATGCCCTCCGTGTCAGCTGGACTGTCAGAACCATTGCATTCACAGCAGATGTAAAAAGAAATGTGGAGAAAGCTGTTCGCCATGTGCAGAGCCATGTGAGTGGCGATGTCAGCACTACCAGTGTACCAGTCTTTGCTCTGAACCATGTAATAGGCCTCGTTGCAATGTACCGTGTACGAAACGACTGCCCTGTGGACATTCTTGTATTGGCTTGTGTGGAGAGCCCTGCCCTAAGAAGTGCCTTGTCTGTGACCATGAAGAAGTCACCCAGATCTTTTTTGGCTTTGAAGAAGATCCAGATGCTCGATTTGTACAGCTGGAAGACTGTGGCCATGTTTTTGAGTCCCAAGGCCTTGATCACTATATGGATGAAGATGATGGTGTCATCAAGCTGAAAGTGTGCCCTGTCTGTCAGACACCCATTAGAAAGAATCTGAGATATGGCACCATTGTACAAAGGCGTCTGTATGAGATAGAGAGAGTGAAAGAGAAAATACAAGGCCCAATACAAGAAATTGAATCTAGAAGACAAAGCCTACAGGCTGCGCTAGCAGGGAATGCTGTTCTGCGGAGGAATCTGCCCCTTAAGTACCTTATGTTGGAAGATAAACTGAGAGCCCCTGTTCTGTCCTCAAAGAGCATTGGACTAATTGAGAACCAGCTTAACTTCTACAGCCGTTTAGCTGATCTGACCAATTCTATGGACAAAATCGAGGCAAGTGAGAGGAACGGGCTGAGGAAGCGGCTGGATGAAGTCCAGGTTTGGCTGGATAGGCCACGCATCAGTTTTACGGGGCAGGAGCTCTCTGACTTGCAGGTTGAGATCCAGAGAGTGACCTACTTGCTGAGCCTCTTAGCAAGATGCAATGGTGCGAGCGGCAGGATAACCCCTGCTCTTGCTAAGGAGATTGCCACTGTCCGTGTCATCCTCGAGGGGACAAAGAAGCTCACAGATGAGGATGAGGCTGTGGTGAAGGCTAAACTGGAGAGGCTCTGCAGTGCCCTGCCTACCTCAGGCTTGGGCATCTCTGAGGCAGAGCGGGTACAGATTGTCAGTGCTATTGGCTGTCCCCGCGGTCACTGGTTCAAGTGCAAAAATGGGCACATCTACGTGATCGGGGAGTGTGGGGGGGCGATGGAGAGGGGCGTGTGCCCCGAGTGCTCTGCAGCCATCGGGGGAACGAACCACAACTTGGACAGCACCAACAGCCTGGCCTCCGAGATGGACGGGGCCACGCATGCCGCCTGGTCCGACACGGCCAACAACCTGCTCAACTGGGCCGAGCTCCGCAGGCTGCTCTAGCTGGGCCCGGGCCGCGCTCGCGCTCTTCCCTGTAGCCAATAAAGCGCTTCCTGCCCCCACGCCTCTTGTCTCTCGCGCTGCCACCGCCCTTCCGGCGCCGCTGTCCGGAAGCGGATGTGACGTCCGCGAGGGGCGCCGTCGGGCGCTGCGCTGCCATGGAGCCGGCGGGAGCGGGGCCGCTGAGGGAGCTGCTGGGGCAGCTGCGGGGCTCGCTGCACGCGGCGCTGGCGCGGGTCCGAGGTGAAGGCCGGGGCTGGGGCCGCGCCTCGCTGCTTCGGGCCCCGCTGAGATCTTTCTGCCTTTACAGAGGGCGAACCAGGCGAGGGCCACGGGCCGTTCGAGCCGCCGCGCTTCTGGGACGCTCTCGGTATGGAGCGGGTGGCGGGCCAGAGACCGGGCGGCGGAGCGGGGCAAAATGAGGCCACCCCCGCGAGAGCTCCGTGCACAGTTCTCGTGGGTAGCTGCAATGGCAGAAGTGGCATGCTGGTGTTTTTACACGGCCTGGCTGTGAGTTACCTGAGGGATCATCAGGAAGGTCTACAGCCAGGGTTTCTGTGCTTGTCCTCAGTTCCTCGGCATTGTTACTGATAAAGCAGTGGGTACTATGAAGTAATTGTCATGACCTGAGTGTTTAAAGACTTTGGTCTCGGTTAAAACCAGCTGGCAAGTTCAAGTAAAGTTGTCAGGGAGCTAAGAGAAAATATGTGACTGTGGATTTCAGAATTGGCCGAGTAGACAATTTAATGTGACACAACTGCAACAGACATTTTTTTTCCCCTCCTTTGTAGATTTTAGCTTATGTTCTTTCATATCTAGGAATGAGAGACTGTAATCTGGCATTAATCTTAGGGCAAAGCAGCATCAGAGAAGACATTGCTCATCTAGCTGCTCTGGTTTTGTTTGTTTGTTTTTGTCTTTTTTTTTTTTTTTTTTTTTTTTTAAGATCCTGACAAATATGTTTTTTTTGCATTGGATTATTTTTAGGTCAGACATTCAAAGCAGCATCACAAGAAGCAACAAAACTGAGTCTAGCATTCTCAAGGCCCCCACTGCCTTCTGCAGAGGTGAGTGAAAACCTCCACAAGGTGGGAAGTTACAGCATGTACATTACAGCTTGTTGATGGAGACCATATATGGATCAAACAGTGGATCTTGGGCCTGTGTAAAAATGGAAGTATTTTTACTATTAAACACAAGAAACTTTAACACTTATGTTTGGAAGAGGGGAAAAAGGACCACAAATTCAGAATAATGATCTAAGCTTTCTTCTCTGTTGCATGTCAACCAGACTAGTGGGGTATTTTTTGTTACCAAATTGTGAGGAAAGGCATGATGCATACAGTGAGTGTGCAACTCTAGCAGTTTAATCCATTCTGCACTTGCAACTTTAGAAACGCCTAAATGCTGTAACTTACCACTGTGCTGTTTTTGTTTCTTGAGTTGGCCATTACTGTGCTTTCCAAGAGTCTTTTTTTTTTTCAAAATCATCTGAATTCTAAGTGTTTACTTGTGAGACTCTCCAAATGGAATGCAGCAATGCATTTTTCCTGATTAATCCTTTTGTCTATACATTTTCAGGATTGTCAGAAGCTGAGTGGAGATGTCCAAAATGCTATTCTTGCAGTTGCCGCGGTGTACTACTCACTCCCCAAAGGACAAGGTGAGATTCAGCAGAGTAGTGCTAGTTCTTTCATCACTGTATGATGAAGTGCAGTATTTCAGAGTCCAGTAAGACCTAATATCAACAGGAAAGCACATGTCCATGAGTAAAGAGAGCTCCATTGTCAGCTGTTCCATAAACTTGCAACATGGTTATATTGCAAGTTATGGTTATGGCTATGCAACTGGCTATTCTGTTGGATCTCCTGCTGTGAAAGGATGATAGTTTAGGAAAGGTAATTGAATATTTGTATTTATAAAACACAAAGATTTCACCCAAAATTCTTTTGGAACTTAATAACCAATGTCACTTCCTTCAAAGTCCAGTAACATATCTTGCGTCTGCATGAACAGAGCTGCCTGTGTTCATCTTTGATAATGCTTTCAGTCATTGCTGTCTTCATTTTTCTCAACCTCAAATAGGTACTACTCTTCGGAAGATGGTACGAGATGCTATTACTGAGGTGGTGGAAGGAATGATCCAGCTCACAGAAACAATTGTCAATACTCCATTGCAAAGGTAGTGCTTTTCTGGAAAGAAGTGAGAAAACGTTGCAAGCATACTTCTTAGGGAGTAGCAAATGCTAACTGCTCCTAAAGGGAAGGAGGGAGCCAACCATTGCAATAAAGCAGGCAAAGGCAACACCCTCACCAGCAAAGGCCTAGTCTTATGGTATCTGAGCGAGCAGAGATAGCCTGGAAAAGTTGGCYGCCTTCAGTTCAGAATTCAGATCATCAGACAAGTCTGTATAGACAAGGTACATTTGAGGTCAAGTGGGGAAGCTAAGCTAGCAAGCTAGGGTCAGATCCTGAAGCAGTAACCAGGGTCAGACACAGACCAATGGTTGCCCAGTTGGATCAGTGGTGGACTGGGCCCAAGATCAACCCAGGAATTCAAAGAAGTGGGTCAGGATCAGGGCTGAAATCAAGAGGTGTGAAACTGGGTCCACTGAGGTATGAGATGTAGTTGCTGTACTGCTATTATGTAGCACAGACACAACCCAGCCAGAGATACTCAGCTTAAAAGTATCTTGAGGGGAACAAAGGATTGGTCTTCACTTCTAACTTTTTTCTTGAGGACTCTTATCAGCAAAAGAACTGACCCTGGGCTTAGCCAGCTAAACTCTTTAACTCTGAACCAGCTAAAGTCCTAGGAGGGTGGAATCCACTTAAGGCCCTTACAGTATCTAGTAACCAAGTGGGTCTTTGTACAGAAAGAATAGCTTTTCATGCTCTCTGTGACAAGGAGAGGAGCTAGGAGCAGAATTTGCATGAAGAGGCTGGGATGGTGTTTGCTTTGGTGACAATTCATGCCCTTGAGGTGGATGGTCTTACATATTGATTGCTTGACTTTCTGAAGTTAGTTATTGGAACACTGTGCTTTCTGGGAGATATTACGGAACTTCTTTTCACTGATTACAGACCACTGCCCTTAGGCAGAAATCATCAGTCTCTGATACAGTCTACTAATTTGAATAGGTTCTGGAAAATATATAGATAGGCACCTTGAGAGGCCTCTGTGGCTCTCCAGCTTCTTTTTACAAATAGTGCTTAAACTCAGGAGGAGCCGGTACCTGTTGCTTTGCCACAGGTGCAAGATGCCAATGATGAGCTGCTTGGTGACCACAGAAAAGAAAAATACAATTTAACAGAGCAATGTTACTGATTCTAACTTTGAGTGGCTCTGATTTGTTTCAGCTTGTGTCAGGAACAACTTATATCAACTGGTGGTGTGTGGGAGGCATGTGAGCAAGCAACCAGCCTGCCTAGAGGTGAGTACTGTGTGTGCCAGGAAAAAAAGGTCTAGGATATGTGGTCTTAGAATACTGATAGCCCTTATGAAAAATATTGTAGCTACTACAAGACAGAAACACTAATTTTGCAAAACTCTACTTTGAAGTGCATAAACTTGGAAGTCATATCAGGTTCTTTTCATAGCAACAATGCATCTCTGAACTCTGCAAACATGTTTGGTCCTATGATATCAAGATCTTAATGGTCTAAAACTTAGGTGAGTGTTGGGAACTGATTCAGTTTCAGATTTTTCTTCCTTTTGTTCTTGCAGATAACCAGGCAGCAGTTGTGTCAGCTCTAGCTGCATGTCTCGCTGTGGTCAAGGATGCTCTGGAAGAAATGGAACATGTAAGGAAGGCAGTAAACCTTCACTGATAAAATGCAGGGATGGTTTTATAGCCAGGCTGTGATTTGAATCAGGTTTGATATGGGCTAGGTTATTGCGTTGTCTGGATCTTAATGAATTTTTAAACCAAACAAGTCTCATCTTGCTAACATATGTAGCATTTTCACAAAGGCATGTCTTTGAATGTGAGTGGTTCTAGGCTGATGTAAAAGTGAGACTGTCTGCCAGATTCTTGCTGCTCACTGTTGAACTGGATCAGGGGATTGTTTTTCTTTAACCAGTCTCATTAGGATTACCAAAATTGGGCAACTGAGATTCTTCCATAAACTGTATGATTTTTAAATGTTGTTTTCCCTTTTTTGCTGAGTGCTCTTGGAGTGGATGTTGGGCCGTAGGTTTTTCAATGCATCTATATTCTCAGGCTCTGATGGAAGGCCAAGACCCCTACAGTGATATCATGGAAGATGAGGACCTAGGTTTTCGAGGCAACAGAGATACGTACTGGTCAGAAGCTGACCGGAAGCTTCTTGGGCCCTGCATGGGATTAATGAAGGCTTCCAAAGCTTGCCTGAAGAAGGTCTTGGGTGTAGTGAAGGCTCATGGAAAAGCTGACTCTTCAGAGCAGATTGCTCAGCTGGATGACCTTGCAGACATTGCTAATGAGATTAGTCCAAGGTAAATGGGTCTCTCACCTTGTTACTTTCTGTTCGGAGCAGTCTGTCTGTTTTCTGAAGTTCAAGAGGGTGGATCAGGAAAAATTATACAAAATTGAATCTGTGAACTGGCAGTAGAAGCTGCTGTGTTTGAAGATGCTATTATGGCATAGGCTGTCGAGACCTGAGCAGATTAGGAAATGAACATGTTCTGCGCCTTGAGGTAGGGCTGTGGTTGTGAGCAGGAATAGGGTGAGACTGGGCACCAAAGCCTGATGTCTCATTGTTAGGATAGGTGTAGACTTTGACCAAGGATGTCCTATGAGTTGTCCTATCAGGGGCTTTTCTTAAATGGTGACTCTCTTCTGTTCTAGTGTTGATGAGCTGGCGCTGAGCATGTATCCCCCTATGAACCAGTTGGCTGTGCGACTCAATGTAAGTATGTACCCTGCATGCAAATCTAATCAGCTGTTAGAAGGAGAGAAAATTGAATTTATAGGGATTGTACATCTTGTGGATGTCAGTGACTGTATCAGTAGTCCACTCTTAGGGATGAGGAATCCCCTTTGGTTCTTACACATTTAGCTTCCTTGGCGTGGAAATCTATTTCACTTTACTCCTTCAAGGAAGAGCATGGTCACTTTCGGCTTGAATCTGGGTTGTGCATAGAGATGTCAAGTGACAGTATCTCAGGCAAGTGGAGTCTAAGGTTGTCAGTGTATTCCATGTCAGGTGGATTTATATGAATGAAGCGATCTGAATTAAAACTAAMATTTTGAGGTTTTCACAGTGAATGTGATTAAGGAGTGGAGGAGGTTGCTCAGGGAAATAATGGAATCTCCATCTTAGGGGATTTTCAAAACTAGTCAAGGCTCTGAACAATCTGATGGAACTTTGAGGTGGGCCTTGCTTTGAGTGGGAGGTTGGACTAGGTGACTTCCAGAGATTCCTTCCAAACTAATTTATGTATACACCTCCTCATATCTGAGATTTGTTATTCTGCATCTTAGTTCACATTTCTTGTATTTGGCCAGTGCATTGATCTTTCGGTACAAAATATTAAACATTGCTTAATACCAAGCTTAATATCAAGCAATTGTACATAGTCACTTCATGTCTTAATTGTAATCACCAACTTATCTTAGGCTTATCTTTTTAAGAAGAAAGCACATATATATATATATTTAATCTTCTTGTTGTTATTCTTTTTGCTTTGTGTTTTTGCTTGCCTTATTCAGCAGTAGGTTGGGAGACACTCCTAGCATGGCAGTGTTAGCTTCCTCTTGCATCAGGGTCTATGGCAGTTTTATTCATTCTTGGGTGTATATGTATTGAACATTCCTGCACTTGCCCTTTCTTCCCATTAATTTTTCACTTTGTTTCCCTTTTGTTTCTTTCTAGGCTGCTAAATTGGCATCAGTATTAAAGAAAGTCTTGGAGATTGCAAAGTGAGTATGAGTTACAAGCATGTGATCCCTAATATGAAAGCTGATRTTCTGCGTCTGTTCAAGGATGACTCAAATTTCTAAATAGTAAATGCTTATTTTTAGTATGTTTGGAAGCAAAGGAATGGGAATAAGAAGAGGATGATAGGAATAAAACAGTCCCTATTGAAAACAAGAGCGTCAGGGTTTCAGATTAGAGACAAGAATATGACTTCTTCCTTGCTCCAAGCGCTCTGAGAGGCACAGCAGTATTTTTCTGCTGTTGTAATTCAGCCTTTCACTACAGCCATGTGGTGTGAGGACTTCTCTAGTGTACAGGTGAACAGGTATGAGGCACCCAGGATGCTTTTCTAATGTATTTCCTCTGCTTTTGCAGGACAAGCCACGTATGTCCACCATCAGAGGAAGGCTGGGTGCAGTTTCTCAATGGTGCAGTCAGTCACAACATGGACAAAATCAAGAACTTCACACAGGGTGAACTTTAGCTCTCCTATGTCAGCTTGTGTTGCTGCCTCTGATTCTGATATATGCTTTCCTAGTGAATCTGTCCGGCCGTTCTCTATCTATAGGAGAATGATGAGGGAAGTTCTTTTAGGGGAGAACTTTACTGTCTCTTGACAGATGTTTCAAAGGGAGAAGTCACCCTTTGCTATTGCAAAAGCTGTTAGTTTTGCTTCATCTCCTGGAATGATGCAGTATTGCATCTTAATGCTGTGAATGTGCCYCTTTTTAACACATTACAGCTACCATGGAGTGCAAAGATCAATAAAATATTAGATTTGCAYGGGTGATTTTATTTGTTTTTGTGTGGCAGGCTAAACACAGAAGGGAAAGGCTCTTGCTTCTTTTGCAAACCAACAAATGAATCATTAGAATAAGTGTAGCAGTGTTCCTACTTTCTTTCAAACCATAGGGAAGAATGAACTATCTCTCTTCCCCTGGAAAGAGGTATAAACAATTATTTATTGCTTTAACAGCTTCAAAGAATCTGTGGAAGTAAGGRCATCTCTAGAAAAATGCAACATCTGTCGTCATTTTAAAGTTCTAAGSTATTCTTTCTGCAGTGGGTAGAAAAAGAATTGACTAAGCAGTGGTGGGTTCAGCAAGTATGCATGGTGAGAAATACAGTGTCTTTTTGAACATTCTGCCTATGTTCTGGAGTTAAAMCCAGTCCAGATGTGCAATGAGTCTTCTGGACCCTGCTTGTGTGGGAGAGAATGGGATATGCACTAACTAGTGCTTGTAGACTGCACAGAGCCCAACCTGAAAGGCAAGGAGGGGAGTTGATACAGGAGATGTAGTTCTTTGTATTTTTAATTCCCAGCGCCTTGGTGATGCATTTGCTAGACAAGAATGAGATGCCAAAAAAAAAAAAGTTGCCATTTAAGCTACTGCTTTGGAATTCTGATCTGACAGCAATTTGAGAGGGATTTGTAGGAGGAGGGTTGAACTCCCCATAGAGACACCTAGGGTTACTTTGTCGTTGTGTGGTTTATTGAGAGAAATATTGCTGTTTTTTTTCATGTGCAGAAAACCATGCCTCTTTTGATGATATTTGACTAACTCTGATATGCCTGGTTCTCCAGCAGAGAAAGGGAAGAGATTGTTAAAACCATAACTAGGAACTGTTCTTATTGCTGGCTGTAGCTAACAGGTGGAARTACATGGCACAGTATGACTTTTATCACTTAACGATATTCAAGTGGCTAGAGAAACAGCAAATAATTTCCAAATTATATGACTTARTTCACTGGACTGTAAGTATCATATTAATGTTCATAATCTGCCTAGTTCTTCATTTTTTRGCACTTTCTTATACTTTATGTTGGTAGGGGTTTTCCCTTCACTGCCTAGGACTTAGGAGCTGGAGCTTTCACAAATGTCATACTAGCTTCAATTTTGTTATTAAMYACCTGTTTAAAGTTCTGGTCTCTGCCTTTTCTCTTTTGCAGTGTGRCTGAAATCTCCCACATTATGTAAATAACGAAGGGAATGTTTGTGACTTTTCACTRTAGTGGTTTCTTTCTCTCACCTCGTTGCCTATTATTTTAGGGGATAACCTTTCCTGTGTGTGGATTTGTAGCTTCTGTTTTTCATTTATCATTCTTAGGTCAGCCACTTGGCACCCACCTGTACTTTCTATGTCTAAAAATGAACCCTTGCTCTGCAACCAGTATGACAYRTTTCCCCAGGTGTTCAGTGAAAGGGTTCAGGAAACTGTTCTCTGCAGTTGTTGTCTGGTACTGTACTATATTTTCTGGAAACTATTGAGAGAAGGGAATGAGTCAGAATTGAAAGAAGGAAAGGGAAACATCTAAGATTAAAACGAAGTWCTTTTTTTGAGGCAAAAGTCTCAGCCTGGACTGCCAGATGCCAGAAGAGGCAAAGCTGTCTTCTGAACTACACTCCTTGCCTGTGRTTTTCTAATGCAGCTTCCAACTTTCAGGCTAGAGAGTAAATTAGGAGTAATCAGGATTTCCCTGTGCTCAAGCATGGACAAGCTAGAAGTGGGAGTACTGTATGAAACAGTGCAGTTCAACGCACCTCTTTTAAARCTGATAATATCTTAGTGCTTTGAAAGACAACTGCATGATGAGAGCCACTGAGCCCAGCAAAATTTCTGCTSTATGAAAGTTGTTTTGTTGCTGCTTCAGTAATAGAATGGCAGGTTGATCTAACRTCAGTAGAGAGAGGGGATTTGCAAATGCTGATTTCTTCCTGGACAAACTATATGTAGAAGTTCTCGTCTTCTGTCAGCATAGCAGTCAGCCTAAGCAAATGGCTTTCACCTTTTTTCTGTACAGTGAGTAAAACATAAAAGACAAGCATGGTTTCTGCTGGAATAGAGTAGCAAAATACATAAGTGATGGTAAGTTTAGCCTAGTCTTAGCCTGCATGGCTTCCCAAAACATGTAATATGCAACTTTGTATGAAAAGCTGCAGCCATTTAAAATCTAAGTATTTTGKGATGGATGTGCRAATTCAAAATTTTAAGGTATACGGATTGCATGTGCCATAGCCTGTTTTGCTCTCACCCCTGCCAAGGTTACTTGAATCACCTGCAGCCAGTTATCTAGGCAACCTTTTGTAAACTAATGGCTATGTGCTTTTTWCATTAACTGAGAGCTAGACATTTTGAGAATAAAAGCAAGCTCTTCCTTCCAAAGCTGGGTAATAGGCTTGCTGTTATAATGTACAGACTGAGCCCTGASTACCAGACACAACTTTTTTCTCCATCACCATGRTTAAACACTTAAATGGCAAGTGGGACATCCTGTCCCARTTGCAGAGAATTGTCAGACTGGAGGTGAATAAGAAGGTTAACTGTCTCTTCAGGGGCAGTAGGAATGGAGCTTAACTCTGTTTTGCTGTTTTTCTCAGCGTTCTTTWTCTTTTTGTAGGCTTTCTCAAGCACCTTTCTTTCCTGAAGAGAACCTGTGACAAAAAAAAAGGGGGGGAGCAGACAAGTTAGTCTTCTTTCCTGTTTACTAATGTAAAGAGGTAAATATAAGGTAGACGGATGGAGGTGAATTATGTTGGCAGTGCCGTAGATAACTGTTTCTAACAGGTCAGTTAGTTATACTGTTGTGTTTCTGGTTGGAGAACTTAAAGGATTTTGACTGACAGRGCATATGGATTTGCCTGAAAAACTTTAACCTGGGAAGATTTAKCMTGTTTTTTTGACCATCTGCTAGCATCTCTCAGAATAAAAGAGACATCTGGAAATTGTAATAACTTAAGCTGCTGTAGCAAGCTTTACCMGAATTCATTGCTACTATGTTCTCTTGTGATGGACTGCAGCCAGGGAGATGCAATATCATAGGCTAAGATGAGGTGGTAGATTTGGATCAGGAGAGCAGATCTCAGTAGTAGATTCTGAAAGAGGAGTTACCTTTTGAGAGGGGAATCTGGRTAATATGTGGGAGCAGAGCACTCCTTTTCAGAGAATTTGAATCTGAAATACTGTACAACAGTTCCTGYCTTTATGTATGGGAAAAGGAAAGATATCAAATTGCTTTATTCCACATTCCTCTTCCCCAGGTCTATCTTTGATATATTACAGAATCACAGAGTCACACATTACCTTTGCTCTTCTGATAGGTGGCATCCAGTGCCTGCCACCCACTAAACTTTGGTAGCAAGTCCTGTTGAGCCATCCAGCATTCATTCCAAACATGGAAAATCTTGTGAGGGACRCACCATCACCAACTTAAACTGGRGATTGAGCACTGAGGTACAGGAAAGTTCTGTCTGAGTCACAGTGCATTAATACTCCCTCTGAAGAGCTCAGTGAATGTTGGGGAGGCCAAAGGTTGTATTATTTGGTACAAATGGAGTTTCTGCAGCTGGACTTGKCTGTTTTTCTTCCTTTACATGTCTTATGAATAGGGCATTCTTGTTTTTCTGTTCCTGGGATTTCTTAAGAACAGATCAGGTAGCCCAGCTGAGCTRTCTCCCACCCATTTCCYTGCAGCTGTTGGTCTTTTTCCCTTCTCTGTTTCTGAAACCCAGGCATTGTCTCAGACTCCTGCTTCGGCCATGCTGTGTTTTCTCACCAGACATGGACAATCTCGTAATGTATCAGCAGTGTMCCATTTTCATCATAATCCTCATTCACTCGAACTGCTTTTGTTGTGAGCCAACATGAAGCCTGTGACCACTGTGGTAGGAATTCCTAGGCACCTCAGAACTGTACAGAAGAATGAGTCATAAATCARTTGTTCTTCCTGCCATATGTTTGTTGATAAACATAGAGCTCGTTCTGGTACTAGACCTATTGGAAATGACACAAGGCATACAGTCTGGGCCTTGCAAGAGGCACTGCCTCTTCAAGAGGTAAGCATTTAGTGAATGGTGTGTATTGACACTCTTTTAGCCTTAAGCTAGAAATGCTGAATGTTGATGAGCGTGGAGATTATGGCGGAAACACTGAGGATCTCTTACCTAAAGTTAAAAGTTGTATCAGTTGGTTCCTTGTTAATCCAGGAATTTAGGTGTACGCTAGAAGTTTTGTGAA